TGTTAGGCCAAGGTTCAAACGCAAAACCGCGGTATAAACCGATATTGGTTTTCCATAAACTCAAAATCGGGGTTCAAAAACCATGGATTTGCATGGGGAATCTCCTCGCTTCCCATCTACTATGAAACCTGAAACCTTTCCTTGAATGTCTGTATTTGGCTTTGCGGAAGGCTTTTATCATTGAGGATCTTATTTGTGGATCTTACATTACGCCAGCACTCCTAGGAATTCCAAACAGGCCCTGACTAGTGCAAGAAAGAGAGGAGACCCTTTAACAGTAAAGTAAGCGAACGCCACGCAATGGAAGCTGCACCACTACCTGCTTTGACACCGATAAGTACTAAAGTTTATCTGGCATATGAGTACATAAGGAAAAGACGAAAGAACCGAACATACTACACACATAACGACGTACATGGCACTTTACGAAGGCAAAAGTATTCTGAAGTAAGACAACTACGTGTATACGATACGCACATAAGAATGAACGGAGATCAAGCAGGCAGGTCTGGATGTTGAGGGCTTCGCCCTTAGGAAGAGAGAGATGAGGCCGCGGACCTCGGTCGTTGCTGCTGGTCGTCTCCTCGATCCAGCTGACTGTCGCTCCGCCCTGAAAAGGCATGAGTCATCGTGGAGTACCCACCACACACTGATTACAGTAATACGATAACTCTGTGAGGTCGGCGCAGTCCACGAGATATCTGTAGGATTCTTTGATAACTGAGAACAAGGAAGCGATCAACTTCCCACCTCCTCCCTAGAAACAGCGCTGATGTTACCTTCTTCGAATTGTGCGGAGTAGTGGTCCGAAGGAACACAGAACATAGAACGTCAAAAGTCAATATTTTCAAGAGGTGTTTCAAGCTACATATCAGTTTTTATTCTGTGCGCTGTCCTAGAAAGAGAATGGGCGTGACTGCGTTACCTTTTTACGCGCAGTATCTGTGATCGCGCATAGCCGTTTCTTGAGCAGAAAGCATATCCGTGCAGTATTACACGGAGTCATAAAGGCAGGGATAGCCGAGTGGTTAAGAGTGTAGACTCACGTTCACACCCTGAGCCACGAGTTCAATCCCTGCCGAGGCACAAACCTGCCTTGCAAAAATTGCAAAAATGGGGACGATACCAGCGTCAGGCCCAGGTTGACAGGCCGGCTGATGGAGGAACCCGTCACAACAATCATGACAAGTCGCAATAGAATCAGTGTTAATGCTAGGACGTCACCCGGAAGTGGCGCGCAGAACCCTCGCCCGAGTTCTGTGGTCAGTATGCGAGGGCTACCGAGGGGTGAACGACCTCGGCCAAAGAAGCTAGTTCGAATTGGGACCCTGAACGTGGGGTCGCTTACCGGGAAGTCTCGTGAGGTTGCCGACCTCATGAGACGGAGGAATATCCAAGTCCTATGCCTCAGGAAACGCGAAGGGTGCGAAGGCCCGCGAGATTGGAGAAGGCGTCAAACTCTTCTACAATGGAGCAGACACCAAACGGAATGGCGTGGCCATAGCGGTGGCAGAATCCCTCAAGGACTGCGTCTCTTCTGTGAACAGAATCAGTGATCGGATCATGGGAGTGAGAATGGACACGAAGGAAGGGTACTGACCGTGTACGCACCACAATCCGGTTGCTCCGAGGCGGAAAAGGATGAGTTCTACCTGACCCTGGACGAGGCCATAAGATCGGTTCCGGAAGATGACTACCTCACCATAGCTGGGGATCTGAATGGCCATGTGGGAAATGACAGAAGGGGTCTAGAAAGGGTGCACGGAGGCCAAGGAGTAGGTGCAAAGAACGCTGAGGGAGAACGGATCCTTGACCTAGCCACAGCTCACGACTTAGCAATCTGTAGCACCTTCTTCGCGAAAAGGAGGACTCAGAAGATAACCTACAGCAGTGGAGGGAGACAAACCATGTCCTGGTCAGAAGATCGTCTCTCAAAACCGTCAAGGATATCAAGGTACTGGGGAAGAGCTGGGCCCTCAGCACAGGCCTCTCCTGGCAGACATCGCCATAGACCTCCCCAAGAAGACAAGGGTGAGAGCAGAGCGAAGAATTCGGTGGTGGAAAATGCGCAAGGTAGAAAAGGATAGCCTCGGCCGAAGAATACTGGAGGCTGGGCTCCCAGACCCACATGGGCCAGTCCAGGACACCTGGACCTACGCAGCAGAGGTCATCCTACAGTGTGCCAAGGAAGTCCTGGGAGAGACGCGAGGTGGTATCAGAGGAGACAAGGCAGCCTGGTTCTGGAACGAGGAAGTCCAGGGGATCGTCAAGCAGAAGAAGGAAGCATACAAACGCTGGCAAAAGACACGGAGCCCAGAAGACTACGCTGCCTACAAGAGCTGCAAGCGACTCGCCAAGGCAGCCGTTGCTAAGGCCAAGAATACGGAAATGGACGCCCTGTACGAGAAGCTGGAAGGCCGAGAAGGGGACAAGTTCGTCTTCCGCCTGGCTAAAGCTCGGCATCGGCTCAGGACATCAGGGTCGTAAAGACTGTGAAGAGCAGCAACGGGGCCATTCTCAGGAAACCAGCCGAAGTCAGAAAGAGGTGGGAAGAATACTTCGAGGGACTACTGAACGAAGAATTCCCCCGCAAGGACAGCCCACAGATAGAGGCGACGGCAGGCCCCATCACTCCCTGGACGAGAGGATGAAGTCCGCCGTGAGCTAGGGAGAATGAAAGTTGGGAAAGCAGTGGGTCCAGACGGGGTACCGATAGAGGCATGGAAGGCCCTGGGAGAGCTTGGGGTGAGTTGGCTAACAGACTTCCTAAACAATGTAACGGCTGAAGGAAGGATGCCAGATGCGTGGAGGAGCAGCACAATCGTCCCCATCTTCAAAAAGAAAGGGGACGCGACGGAGTGCTCCAACTACCGCGGCATCAAGTTGACTCCCCATACCATGAAGCTGTACGAGCGCCTGGTCAACACTAGGCTGAGGGAAGCTTGTCCCTATCTCGCAGGAACAGTTCGGCTTCATGCCGAAAGGTCCACCACTGATGCCATCTTCATCGCCAGACAGCTGATGGAGAAGTACAGAGAGAAGCGGCGACCCTGCTACCTAGCCTTCCTGGACCTTGAGAAGGCATTCGACCGCCTGCCTCGGCCTGTACTCTGGAGAGCGCTCAGAGAACGTAACGTTCCGGAGCACCTAGTCTCCATAGTGAAGGACATGTACGATGAGGCAGCTGTGCGCACCCCTCACGGCTTGACAAAGGAGGTAAACATTACGGTTGGGGTACACCAAGGATCAGCCCTCAGCCCGTTCCTCTTCCTCCTGACTCTAGATGTCATGGCAAAAGAACTCATGGAGGGACCACTGAAAACCATCCTCTACGCTGACGACATCGCCCTGATAGCGGACAGCAGGGAAGAACTCCAGGACAAGGTGCAGCGGTGGCAGGATGTGCTCGCTGAGAATGGACTCCGGCTGAACGTGAAGAAGACCAAGTTCCTGAGCTCCGAAGAGTGTACCGAACCCATCGTAGACCGTCACGGCGAGAGCATCGAAAGGGTCGAGGACTTCCAGTACCTGGGGAGCGACCTAGCAGCTGATGGCAGCGTGGACCAGGCGGTGAAGGCCCGAATCAACGCAGCCTGGATGAAATGGAGGGAGTCCACTGGCATCCTGTGCGACCGGCGGTGCTCGAGAACGCTCAAGGGCAAGGTGTACCGGGCGGTGGTAAGGCCTACAATGCTCTACGGCAGTGAGTGCTGGCCTATCTGCAAGAACCATGAAAGGCAGCTCCACTCAGCTGAAATGAGGATGCTGAGATGGGCCTGCGGTTGGACACGACTCGACAGAGTCAGAAACGAGGACGTCAGGGCGGTCACACAGACGGCTCCGATCCAGCTGAAGGCACGAGAGCAGCGACTGCGATGGTATGGGCACGTGCTGAGAAGGCCTGAGGACCACCCAATAAGGAAGGCATTGGAAAGCAGAGGGCAAGCGACCACGAGGAGCCCCAAAGAAAAGATGGAGGGACGTCATCAAGAAGGACCTCACTGAAGTGAAAGCCACGGCAGAAGATGCAGTGGATCGGAACAAGTGGCGACAGAACAGCGGACCCTGCGACGGCGCGGGACTAACGCTAGGGAGAAGAAGAAGATTACGCGGAGTCATAATTGTTCTTAACATGTTGTCGACAACGCGCGTTTTTACTTTTTGGCCGCGTGGGACACGCGCGCTTTCTCGAAGGCAACCAGCGCGGTACATACACAGTTCACACGGTCCCACGAGGCGCTTTTTTTGGAAATTGGATGCAATTAGGAAGTAAGTCAATACTTCAGTATAGAAAAAAACTAGGCTGGCCAACTCTCGTTGCACTAGGATGCCAGAAATTCGTCCGTAACCAATGTTTTCATAAAAAAAGGAGTCGTGCCCTCTATAGGGTTCAGAAACCTTCACCTTATAATTTTTATCATTATCAACATGGTATTGATCTGCATTTCTTAGCTCGAGAGCTCATCGTACCTTAATGACAGTTGTTCCTCCAGAAGTTCAGTTTTGGAACCTACAGTCACAGAATATGGGACACTGTCGTTTTTCATACGTGACATCCACTGTGTGTCATTCAAAAGCGATCAGCCTGAGCTGCTATTGTACGCGAGGTAGGGGGGTTACTTTCGGCAGAAGAAGAAGTTGCTATTATTGAACACCTCTCCAAATTTTTGTGAGATCGTGACCCCATCCGAAATAATTACTCGGAACCACCTCGATCTGCTCATAACGGCAGCTCAGAGAAATCCACCCTGTGCGTGGGAAGACGAGAGGGTGAAATATTAGCATGCGCTTGAAGTTCAGTTGGTTCTACTTGTTGAGATTATCCGAGGTTGTTGAAAAACTTGCAATGTTCTAGTGCGGAGTGGAATCACATCGACAATGGGACCAATGAGTGTCTCCAATGAATGCCATCTTCTACAAGCTTAGTGCAATGCTCTTTTCAGGGGTACTGGAAGCTATCGGTCTTCAAAAACATCGTTGGCGCTCATTCGTGTGTTATAATGGAAGGTACATCGGTGGCTCTGGGAGTTCCTGTGCTTCCTAGCTTCATGCCAGGTGAGAAAATCCTATCGTACTCGAGATCATCATAATGGTGAATGTGGAGTGGCAGGAAAAATGGTGGTATTGGGTGCGCTAAGATCTGAGCGAACGAAATCTCGTCCCAACCTTGAAGCCTTCCCATTTTTTACTCGATAGTAAATGCATGTGAAAACCCTATGGACCACACCTGTGTCGCTGGTTCTCCCCCGCTGGACAATCTCGCACCTCAACTTTCATTCTTGAGCTTTACAGCCGAGTACTACATATACTGAGATTTTCGTGGAGCGCCTTCAAGCTAACTGTAGTGCCGTGCCTACACAGTATGAAGCCCTTGCTTACATTACCTTGCTTCCTAGGTCAGAGTCAAGCATCCGTTGAGGAGTCCTCAACGGAGAGTCGCATCTGGCTCACGGGAATGGAGGGGAGGGGTCGATTTGGAAAAATCAGTAGTTAACAAAATTGGGTCAAAGCGTGGGGATACGGGCTAAAAACGGGACTGTGGCGGCGGCTCACGTGTCCCCGAAAATGCAGCCGCAGGGAGTGTGTCAGAGGGAGGGAGGTGGGGGAGGGCGGAGGGGGGGGGGGGAGACGGGAAACACCTTTTTTATGGACGTCGACGAGCAAACAAATTTTCCTTAGCGGGATGCTTGGCCCTGCCTCAGTATCTACCACTATGTGAGTGCCGATAAGGTTTTTGCCTATGTCACTTGTTCTATTATCGAGTGCTTTTCAGCGTCTCTTGGTGTTACGAACGATTCGACAGATTTGTGGACACGTGCCACGAACCTTTTATTCACGATCCTCTCGTGGTACTTCCAGGGAGGCAGCGCTAATGCTGCTGATCGAGTGATAAGAGAAAAACTTGGTGCAACTGCCACGCCAGTTTGGGTGAGTTGTACAGTGTTCAGTAATCCAATTTTGAAGCAGTAAGCTGCGACTACAATTTTGAGTAGTCGCTCAGAATGGGATTTTTCACAGATTCGAAGTCTGTGTTCGTTGAGAGTTGCTAAAAAAAAGTAATCGAATATGAGTTTACCTACGCTAGGTGGTTGAAAAGCAGATTGGTAATCTTAAGGGGGAATGCAGCTCCACATTTTTTTTCCTCTAATAATTCAGCTCTTCACAGCTAGAACACCCGACCCTGCGCATGAAAAAAGATCCAAATATAGTCGATTTTTCAAAAAATGCTCAAAGACAAACTGTGAACTCACCATAGAGGACGGTCCTTGCCGTGTGTAGGTGAATCGGTTCACAGCTGCAGTAACGTGCCACTTTCTCCGCTCAGAAGCATGAGAAAAAGGCTGGAGAGTATTGGAACTAGGAAGTTTTTTCTATTACCCGCTCCCAGTCTCTTCAAGGGCACTCGCGTCTATGCTAAGGTCCCCCAGATAAAATCGCAGCGGTAGAGCATAACCAGAAGGGGGAGGGCGCCACAAGTAGTGCGTCTGGTATGGCTAGGCGTGAGGTTGGTGGTATGGCGGCGCGCGCGAGGTTGAGAGACACACACTGCATACCTCTCAGCCCCATTTCCATGTGCTCTAGAAGGAACACTGACGTTTCGACTCCAATTGAGCATGCGCTTTTGCGATCCTGAGACAATAACACCTGCTTGTTAAGGGAGGCGTATCCGTAGAACATTTGAGGAACAGTATGCTATTGGCGAGCATTTTGAATGCTGGTTCCAAAAATTGTCAAATTTGTCAAAAACATTATTCAAGATTGGAATGGTTTTCTAAGGCATTTCCATCGGAGATACTCCGGCACCAGTACTCCACCCTGTGCATTGAGTATTGCGCAGGTTTCATTACTAAAAATACGTGATGAGTAAAGTTTTCCAGGTCATGATCTGGGATTTTGGTTGAATACTTTGTCTAGGTGGCGGAGATGATGTAAATAGCGCGCTTACCACTCGCGCGCTCCTGGGCTTACATCTCGGATCAACCGAACCTTCTACCCTCCGAAAACGGTAAATTGGTACCAGATTCGTCTGGGAGGATAAAACACTGACTTGTACATCGGCTGGCCACCGCAAGTCATTGTATAGGCCACATCGCATTCAATAAGCCACTACGATTCTGAATGGAAGTAGAATGCGTGCCGCATCCCACAAAGGGATTGATCAACGGCGAAGACTTTATCCTTTGGTCCTTTTTCGTCTCTAAACTCGAGGGATGTCATAGAATCTTTTTTTTGAGCTGCAGTGAGGACGTTTCATTTTGATAAGAGGATGTTCCCGTAGGAGCAGCTAATTAAGAGATTGCTTTCGATTTTGGTCACCCTAAACTATACAGTGAGGTTTTCTGCACTCTCTTTTACCGTTCCAAAATGTACGACCAGGACCAGATTCGTTCAGGAAACCGTTTCAAACATGTCATGGGTACTTGTGAACTCCGAACCGTTAATGGAATTTGACAAACCCACGCTGCACAAAGTTGTCGACGTGGGAGGTCTCGGTGTACACGTTCCGAAGCCACTCAGTGAAGTTAGTTATCCAAGAGCTTGTACCTTACCTTCATAACAGCCTTCACCTTACTTGAAAATACTGTTGATCTTTTTTGTAGCAATGGAATCGCATCCTCAGTCTAAGAGAGCGTACTGTTTTGATCTCGTTTGGTACTGTAGCGCAAAGCAGGTTCATGCCAGAATCGATGAAGAAGGCCATCCTTGACGTCATCAAATCGTAAGTATTTTTTGAGTTTGGGACTCAGAAGTCTTCGTTATAGGATAATCAAGGAATTAGACTTTTTATCATAGTTTCTGCCATACTTTTCTTCTCTTTCTTGGTTTTATGTACTTTCATGGGTTTTCATTTCGCTTCTTTGAACTATCAACTCAGTATCTGAATAATCAGCCTTATAGGCTCTCTTTACTCTTACTCGACGCTTTTTGCATTACAAGTTGCGCACTTTTGATTTCAGTTCAGTTTTTCCGCCCTTGATGGTCAGACATGATTCTGTGTATACTCCTTATCCCTGAGCCAGAGTAGGCGTGGCATTTGAACATGGCACGGAACTGGTTACTCGTGGAATATTCCAGTCTGGGACAACTGTCATCTTGTTCTGTGTTGGACAGAGACACGACAACAATTGTGTCAAGATGAAAATATCTCACCAGAAGCATAGACTCCTTCAGGTTAACTTGAAGCATGCAGCCACGCCTACCCGAGGGATTTAGAGTGTAATTTGTTGGTTTGTTGGACCACAGGTTCTTCACGTTATAGGATAATCGAGGAAGTAGAGTTTTCGTACGATCTATCATAGTTTCTAGCATACTTTTCTTTTTCATGCTCTGGAGGGCCACAGTTATATAATATCTGAAATTATAAGAAAATTAGAAATATTAGATTTCGAAAGGGCAGGTCCGGAAACGGAGATTAGCAGGAGCAAGCCGGCCGTGTGTGCATAGCTTGCTCCTGCTCGCGGAAGGTTCCTCCTCGTCGTCTTCGTCAGGCGCGAAGCTTAGCTGTGTAATGTGGGATGACTCATCAATACCATACCTAATATTCACCTCTCCCACATAGGAACAAGTATCACGTTGCGGAAAAATATTCCGGTCGTTACAAAAGCAGTGACAAATATACGTCTCATAGAAGTACGTAAAAGGTATAGCTTGATCAAAATAGTGCATGAGAGGGGGAAAAGCAGTAATGAATGCTGAGAGACCTTTTATAGCATATGCCGTACCTCCGGTGTGATCGTGGCGAAGATGCGATAATCTGTATGAAGGCATTTTAAGCTTTCCTGAAAGTGTACAGAGTAGCACGAATACTTTTGAAGAAATGGTCCACGTCCTCGTGTTTCTATTGCACAGACATATTTTACAATGTCCCAATGACCTTAAAATCTTATCGAGTCCACTTACAAAGTAAAAAAAGAAATGATAGAAAAGAAATGAATAAATGACCCATCCTGCAGTGTCCATACAGCAAATAGCCACCGGACTTTTGAAATTCACTACAGGGGTGGCCAAAAAAAAGTCACTTTGCTTCATTGACTTTCGAGGCGCTATAAGTTACACTTTATAAACTCTGATCGGACATTGAATACTATTATGACACTCCGCCACAGCCTTCTGGAGGAGCGCCATCGAGAGATTCTGGCACGCAACCGCGATGTGGTCCCTGAGATCAGCGAGATAGTCGATTTCTCCGCCACCGTAGACCACCCTATTGAACTCCGCCTCGAACCGGGTAATTGAGGGGATTCAGGTCAGGTGACCTACTTGGATATTCCATCTTCTTTAGGTACTCAGCCCCCTTCCATTCCAGTAGGCGAGAGTTTCTCCAACGCCCTTCGATTCCACGTGGTGGCACCCAATGCTGTAGCAGTACAAAGTTTCCAAGAAGGTACGGGCGACGACATGTGGAGAAGATATTCTTGAGTTGGTCGATGTAACCGCCAGCGCTCAGCTTCAGTCCGGGGTCCACGAAGAAAATATTGGTCTTTCCATTCCAGGTGCGTCCGGTCCATACCATCAACCCGCGCCTTGGCGACTGCCGTGAAGATGATGTCCTAGACCGTAGCGACGTTGTCGGAGCTGCTCGATGTTGGAGGTTCCAGATTGAGAGTACTGGTCTCCAGGTAGCTACCCATGGGTGACTCCACACTAGAAGTTTCGCAGCTGTTTGGAGGTGACATGAATTCCAAAGGTCTTCTCCAGTCAGGCTGCGACTGGAGATGACTTCATATTTTGGTGTACATGAAGGTGATGGGCGAGAGCCAGCTCCTGCTTATCGAGGAACATCTTGGGTATATCCACGTCTCTGTCTGGGCTGCGAAAACTTTGCTGATATGTGACTCGGTCGAAGTGACTTTTTTGACCATCCCTGTATACCGCTCAACATAACTACATTTGTGAGATTGTGTCATCTGCAACCAGCAAACATTCCAGGTATTCAAATGTCACATTTATCTGGAAGTATGAAGAACCAGATGACAAGATGTTTGAAGGGATTAGCAATCTGTTTCTTTTAAAATGGACGCCACAAAGCTGCTTATTAGGTGAGTTGTCTATGACCTGCCGTCAGATTTATTTCGTTTCGCTCCGCTCATATACAGACCTATGCTTAACAGTGATTATACCTAAGGACACAGACCGCGATAACTCGATGAAAAGGGCTCTCCTCTTGAACAGAGTAACCCGTTCCATATCCGGAGTGGTTACACCATTTTCATGACTCAAATGGTTACTTCCCAATCGCGATGAAGCAGGCATAGTAAGAGCTGTGACCTACGCAGCATCTACTGGACTCAACTATCATGGCAGCGCCGACCCAACCTCTCGGGTCAAGTGTACTGCAGTGCCGCTACTGGGAAGCAGCGCTTCACACTCGCTTGAAAGTGAGTGGCGATCACTCCTTAGTAACGGCCACACTCATGGTTAGAGATGAATGCCTGTGAAAATGCGTCTATAACTACTGAAACTTTCGACTTTCCGCTCCATATATCTCATTCGCCCGCTCTAGCGATATCTTTCTTATGGCTTTTTGTGTGGACAACCAATGCTCAGAACCACTTCAAGGGAAGAAGCTTTACTTTGGACGTTTTGAATTTCGTGCTCGCTTTTTTCAACTTTGATAGTCACATGACTCCTGCAAAATCACTACCTGAACTTCACGGCTCACGGCTTGCTGCTTGCAGACTGCGACTGCATTCAAAACGCGATTTCCATCTGTTCAGGAGGTCATGCCATGCCTTAGGCACTGAATGCTGAAGGGCACGTTAATTTGCTGCTCTTGAGCAGGTACTGCGTTCCGGACTTTCCGAAGAAGTGCGTCCTCAGTCGTTTTACCAAGGCCTAGCGTTCTAAGTAGACGGCGCTTCAGACGCGTACAGTAGGCCACCCCAACCAGCAACCTACTGGATCAGCTGGTTTCCTTGGTGAATGTCGTTGAGTGGAAGGTAACATGCGAAAGCTCGTCCACTTCCCAACTGAGGCACTTATTAGAGGCTTATTGGCTGCTTCGTCTCTTGACTCTCGCACTATTTACTGTCTGCACCCCATTTTTTAGCCGTTGAGCAAGCTTTTGCGCCCACTGCCGTTAAGCGAAGTTTTCAGCGGATATTCCAGAATCCTCACGGCTCTGTTCGAATTTTTACAAAAATTCTTTTCAATATCAGCTACATCCACATTTCAGCTGACAAACGTCTAACACTTTTCATCACACATGGTGGTGCTGGGAGCATGATGGAGAGTGCGCATCGCGCTAAGCCACTTATTGTGGTTCCCTTGTTTGGCGATCAAATGAGAAATGCAAAACTTATCGAGAAGTTTGGTTATGGTGAGTGGACTATTCAATAAATGAGTTTCGACCACCAATATCTTGTCTGCGTACAACTTTCACTCAGTATCATGGTCCTCTTAGTCGTGTCCTTCAGCCCTTAATGCAAAACCCCGCCAATGCATATTGTATGTGAAGGCGTTCAGCACATTGCTGGCCGCCGTACTGCACGCTTCTCCAGATCATTTTATCATTTTTTCGGTAACTCATTAGTAACTGCCTTAACTTCTACAATCGCTTGTGAAGCAATCTCTTCCTCGACCGGAAATATATTTTGACAACAGTGGAACATGAAAAGAGAGCCATTAATCCAATAAAATGCCGCACAGAGATAAATTCATGACACATCATGTGTGTCGCGCGGTCCGGTACGTTAACAGCGAACCTATAGTCGCCATGCGACTATTCTGGAAAGAAAAGAGCGGAAAAAAATCATGGAAAATACCTCAAGAGCCCTGGTAGCCCCAGGGTACGAGATGTCGGACCGGCCCTTTTTTAGCCAGCAAATCGATATTCTGCCCCTCCGACTTCCTTGAGGGTTCTTCCCGTCATCCAGTGCTAACACAATCTAACAGTGGAGGAAGCGAGAAGCCCAGGTTAAGACTGAACTCGTGACAGAAAATAGCTTTTGCGTTGGTGATCGGGGCATCTGGAGAGGCGTCAGAAGTGCTATCTCTGACTGCTGCAGTGGCTTCGTTATAGCCGTGAAACCGCGAAATTGGGAGAACCTAACCATAAGTGACTGAGCAGCAAACTTCTTGTAAAAGGGAGGACTCACGAGTTGCCCGAGAGAGACTGTCTTCAAGGTGACCTTAGAGAACCTGCAAGGACGAAACAAGCTCTATATCAATACATTTATATTGTTATAATAAGCGTGATACAAAACAAGCAATTGAAATAAATCGGATAACTAGCCTTGTTCACTGCGAAGAGGATTTTGGTCCCTGGTGAGCACTGATGAGAGGAGATTGGAATGATGAGGAGATCTCGATTAAAATAGCTGCGGAACCAAATATCGCCCTGTTTCTGAAGGGAACAAGGAATGCCATTATTGTTTTAGCATCCTTGAAGAATTCATGAGTAAATTTCCACTACAGGGCCTTGAGTTGTTTGGGAAGTCGCAGAAATTGCCAGAAGTACAGTACAAATACTAGATTTGACCTGTTAAGGTATCCATCTGGAGAAATCTCACCTGCACGACAGCAACATTCTTCGGAGCGCAATCGAACGAATCTTCTCTGATCCTAAGTGGGTAATAGGTATTTTTCCTGCGTGGTAGGATGGAGCAGTGCTGAAGACAGTACTCACCCGCTGGTCCTAACCATAAGACCCACGTAGCGATGTGAAGCCTTCTGATCTGAAATTTCAGATATCAAAAAGCAGCCAATCGGATCAGCCAGCTACTGTCAAGACGTCCATTCAGTCCAGAGGAGAAACTCGTGAAAACCGTTGAGCTCGCTGCAGAATTTGGAGATCTGCCCGAGACTAAAACGGCAGGAAGAAACCTTGGAATTGTCGTGTATTATAACCTGGATCTGATTTTTATATTGGCAGCGACACTCGCTGCTTTTATAGTTCTTGTACTACACATCATAGTCCGGTTATTAAGGCGTAATTTTGTTCCTCTCAAATTGAAATCTCAGTGAATATGAATCTCATGAATAAGCTGTTTTTAGTACTCAATGTAAGTTCCCGTTGACGTGAGCTTTCACTGTTGAAAGCTTTAACCTCATCCAAGTACTTTGAACTCCGTAGCTCAATACAGTGTGCACTTACATAGATTTGGAACACATGCTTTGCTGAAAAGAAACATTCTGTGTGACGGTCTGATTTCCGGTTCTTTACTTCTCCATCTGTCATCCATCCACTTCTTCTGCATGCTCCTACTGGAGGAGCTAAGGGCCAGCTTTCTGTGGCTCGCACCTGACTCATTGAGCATGGGAGTGTGATGAACGCGGAGAACCAAGGGTGAGCTGCTTCCAAGATATTTCTCACCAGTCATGGTTACACTCCTCACGGTTAGACAAATGTGAAACCATCACAACCGTAGAGTTCACCTAATTTTGCATTGCATCAAAGTGAGGCAGCTCCTTGAGGCTGCGTTCATGCTTTGCGGCAGCGTCCACCAGCGTCCCGAGCGTCCGGCAGCGTCAGCCATTAGTGGGAAAGTATAGATATCGATTTTGGTTCGCCAGCGTCCACCAGCGTCTAGGGAAGTATAGGTATCGATATAGCGTCTGTCAGCGTCTGCCAGCGTGCAACTGGAGGAGTATGGGGAGATAGGAGGGTGGCAGAGAGTACGATGCTAATGGGGGGGGGGGCAACGGGGTGCCAGCTGCTTGCTACCTTTTCATCGCGCCATTCATTCCTCCTAGAGACGCTGCCGCAAAGTATGAACGCAGCCTTACAGAGCTGAGTCATGCGCTTTTTCAGGTTGTTGAGACTGCCGCTCAGGCACTGGATGCAGCGGCACTATAACCCTTTTAGACAAGGTTTCTATTCACAATTCATTTGTTATGGCTACCAAATAATCACCAAGCGCATTGGGGACGGGACCACGAGATGTGCAGGGTTTTTGTATGGAGGATTCGTCCTAAATAAGA